ACTATATACAGACTGTTAAAGCACCAAAATGATGAATTTCAATGTATGAGTGATTGGGACTGTTACGGTACGAATGCGAGGTGCTAAATCACAAGTATTTCACAGTAATTCGTCAGAACATATATATACACCAACAGAAAATGCCTCGACTGGATAATAAGAAAATGCCATGACGTGGTGCATGTGGAGAAAGCAGTAGTGTTGAATGTGTCATCTTTATACAATTGAACATCATTTGATGGGCCTTGGGTATCTGACTCAATTTAGATTGGTTTATGAAGCAATGAATGGTTGTTATTTAGGTATGCATCTCAGCTACGGTCGTGTATTTTTATCGACGTTAATCGTGTTAGCGAATAACGGGATTAAATAAGTAAAAAACGAGAATAAAGTTTGAGTACGTATATTCTGTGTAATCGTTGATTTGAACAGACAATCCGAGAGAGGAAGCGAAGGAAGCAAACAGGAGAGAGTGAAACGAAGGAGAATGACGTGTAGTGGAGAAAACGAAACAGTAAACTATTTTTAATGAAGCGTGAGTCTATATTTATAGTCAAATTAAAATGAGTTCCAGACACATGATGAATGGGATCTATGATTAACACATATTCAACCATATAAAACAGTCAGGGTTAATAAGCCGATGAATGACAAGGCCAGAATTTTGATTGGGAGGAATGGAACGGCCTGTGTGCAGCAGTGTATATGTGAGCGATAAACAACATGCTATGTTATGTATGTTCATAAACCAGAGCGAAAGGATAAAGGTCATGCTTTTCAAATGACATTTTTACGGGCAATGATGGTAATTGTACAAATCATGGGAATCAATTATACATGCAAATGGTAACGAAGTTGAATAACTACAATAGCTTGGATGTATTATAATGTCACATCGAAGTACCATTGTCCTTACGTATACTGATATTTGTACTGAACGTTCTTTTGGGTATTATTAGCGTTACGAAGGGATGTGTAAAAATAAACATATAATAAAACTATGATGTGGTTCGTGGAGAACTTTGGAGGTCGTTTAGATATTTTCCAAACCCTTATTGCATATAGATGAACTGGAAACGGAATTAAAATAACTTCCGTGTAATAAGGAAGTCGAGCCATGATTAACTGTGTGAGATAGTAGCAAATGCAAAGCGTATAGTAGCCACCGATGTAACTAAGGTTGAGAAAGTTTGAACGACGTGGTTAGCCGTAAAACTAGAACCGGTTCGTCGTAGGTTAGCAACATATACTCTAAGAGATTCATTCCAGTTTGCCGATAGACTAAATCATACGAATGTTACCGACGAGTTCATGGTCTCTTTTGATGTAACATCATTGCTCACCAATATACCACTTTTTGAAATTATTGATATAATCTGTCAGAATGATGATCTCTTACCTTTATCAGCCCCAGAATTAAAAAAAACTACTACTGTTGTGCACAACGGATGTTCAATTCCAGTTCAATAACACCATATATCGCCAAATCGATGGCGTAGCAATGGGAAGCCTACTAGGTCCAATTATGGCAGATATTTTTATGGGGCATCTTGAAAACACGGTACTTAAACAAGCAATTAGTGAAACAACGGAATATTCCAGATATGTGGACGACATATTATCTTTAACAATAAACAACATGCAATCTGCCTGCTAAGACTTTTCGATGACGCTCATACTAACATGCATTTTACTATGGAACACGTACAGAACGAAATGTTCCACTTTCTTGATGTTGCCATAAAACGCGGGGGAGACGGGACAGTCCAACGCTCAGTTTATAGAAAAAGTAATTGGAATGGCCTTTACCTGAATTTCAGTAGTTTTTGTCCAACTAGTTACAAGAAGGCATTGGTTAAAACACTATTTTACAGGGTAGAAAAGATATGTACCACCGACAAACTGGAAGAAGAATTAATGAACGTAGAAAAATGTCTAAAAGACAACTTTTATCCACAAACGTTTATTGACAAATATAAAAAGCCCAAAGAAAACAAGACGGAAATAACTACGGTCAATAAAATGCCAGTATATATGGATCTTAACTTTAAAGGTGATAACGTCGCACAAATAATCAAAAAGAGACTGAATACTGCGCTAGCCAGAACTTATCCGGCTGTTAAACTTTAAATTCTCTATAAAACAACATGTTCACTAACTCAATCAAAGGTCGACAAGCACCCCTTTCATGTTACCGCCAACTGTATTTATAAATTTACGTGTACCTGCTAAAGCAGCTACATCGGTCGAACTGAAAGGAGAGCATATCTGAGATTCTTTGAACATTTTCCAAAAGTCTTAGAACAAGGGAAACAAAGACTCTGAATAGTGCAATCACTAAACATCTCCTTGATACAGGACATCAGGTAGATACCTTACAATCCTTTAGGGTGATTGGTAAGCAGCCAAACTCCACTCTTCTGAAGTTTGCTGAAGCCGTTGCCGTCAGGCGTCAAAAACCTGACCTATGTGCTCGAAAGGAGACGGTTGTTAATCTTTCTTTGGCTTTGAGATGGACTAAAACGTATATTAACCGAAAAACAGCAATAAAGTTACTACGTCCAAAAGTTAATGTAGCAATAAACAACGCATAAGATAATAACACAAATAAAAGTTTAGGGACGTCACTTAAATCAGCAGGTTGGCGCGTGTCTTGTTGGTTTTGGTACCAGAACCCACAATTATAGGTAAATAATAATTCCAAAGAGACGATATGGCTCCAGTAGTATATCCGAACGTAGAAGGTAATGTGAATGTTACAAGTCTATAAATATACATGATAGTTAACTAATCGTTCCGTCATCATATCCACAAACATGATAGAACGAGAGACGTATGTATAAAAGTGTATTTACTTTTGAGCAGTTAACAATGTCATGCTATGTGAGATTCAAAAACGGAAGGAAGAATGTAAGTATTCAAGGTCTTATACTCAAACAACAAGTGCAATCGATTAATGATAAATGCACAGACTGTGGAAATTGGCAAAATAAATGCAAAAGATATGAAAAACTATTTACAAAATAGGTTTATCAAGTCTATCTCCACACCTTGGTGACAAATATTCTTTCGCTGCAGCTTAAATTTGTTTTTCTTGTGTACTTTTTACATCATTGGTTTTATTTTTCAACTATCTTTCAAATTAATAATCTTTCAACTGAATTCTACCCACTATATTCCTATCAATGTCTATTCATTACGTAATCAATTGTTTCTAACCCTCTTTTGAACTGTTTTCACAATTAATGCTGTAGAATATTCTTTCACATTAGGTATATATTTACAATATTCAGTCTATCAATTTCATTTACACCCATGATATACTTTACGAATATGTCTTCAATATAACCCTCTCATGTAAGCAATTTAAACCCATTATGTAATTATGATTTTAAATACCACAGGTTGTAAGCAGCTGACGAGAACCTACGAATTAAAATGAATTCATGCTATTCTGCTAGAATCTTTATTTTTGCTCTTTTCAATATTACTTGAGTTGGTTTTATGATTTTATTGCAGCGATATACTACGTAAACGTGAGAAAACCTAAAATCCATGTAACCTAATTGACACCCAATCAACAGGAAGAAACTGATATATGTATATATCAATTTATGTATATATTCTGGAAATATTATTTGCAGAATTTACACCAGTTTACAGGCATGATCAGCTTGATTTAAATTGTGTCACTAAATGTAGAGAACAAACATGTGGCATAAGATTGTTTTAAGTTTACTAGTTTAAAAATTGTCTAGATAGTACCTTTATGTTATGTATTGCAGCAATGCTATTGCATCGGCCGGTAAGTTTTGATTTTTATTAAGTGGACATCCCGTTGATTTATGAACAGCGCATTTAAGGTCGGTTCCTGTGCCATAACGAATCAGTCGTAATCTTCTGCAACGATAGAATTTGAAATGGAAACAGAGAGCACGAAACAACAAAGCAATAATTACTAAAATGTGTCAGTCATGTCTACTATAATTCATGTGTCATATGACTCAATGATATACTGTTCATGTCAGATATTGTTCAAATTATTCACGATTACTAGGACAGTGTTAACGTAAAGCGACAGCATGTAGGTGGCTTTACTTGATGAATTCAGTAACAAGAATGGTTAAGTGTTTAAAGTTCCTGTAATCTGACTTGTGGATTAAGATACACTTACAGGTGCTAGAACATTTAGTGCATTTTCAAAGGAGCAGTATGCATCCATGCAGCGAACAAAGGGTGAGAGTGATTTTATCTTACAGATAGATTGTGGTGGATCATTCTAGATTTTAGAAAATTTACAGGTAAAGCAATCCATATAGAGAGGTGGTTTACAATTGGTTTATTCCACTAGTGACAAGGAGTTACTGATGTCGTAAATAGAAATTTCTGCACATTAAATTACTTAACTGGATGTAAAGGATAGTTTATTAAGCATCTTAAAGAGAAAGACAAAATCTAGTTTGAGAATTCTCTTCAATAAGGGTCGAGCACAAGTTTATTACATCTGGAATTATAATTCATAGTGCAATCAATTCCAACAATCCGAAGTGTAAATCATCTCTATAGTGATTGTAACCTTAATTTATACTTTGTGCACACACTACTAAAAGTAAGCGTGCAGCATTCTAGGTGTGGTTGAGCACAAACTGTACATCAATATACGTGACTCTTTGCAATAAAGTTTTCGAGTTATGCAATCCATAAATTATTAAATTATCTGACTAAATTGCCAGTCTTAAGTATGTAATCGCATGAGCTCTTCAATGGTTGAAAGTGAATTATCATCATCATTTAGCCATGTTGTTAAACCAGATGATTGTAATAATTACTTAAGATCTTAGTGTAAATTTCTAAGATACTTATTATTTATGCTTTACAATTATTAAATTTACTGAAATATTTATCAATCATTTTTATTCTAATGTTGGGTTTTTGAAAATCATCTGAAAAAGAAAGAGAAATAAGGTCTCTAAAATGCTGTTATTTTATCTCCTTGTTAGGGAGAACACGACTTGAACCATTAGCAGTGATTGTACTCTCTGTATTTATGGGTAGTATATCTATACAACTTGTAGCTGAATCTGTACAAGCCATTGTTCGTATGTCACAAAATAATCAAGAGGCACCAAACGTTAATGATTTAGCATTGGGAATAATGGCATCCGTAATTGGTAAGAATTATATTTAATGTTCATAAATTGTGTTTTCAAACTTCATTTGAAAAGCTGTGACCTAGACCCACAAAATACCTGTTGATTAGTAGCCAATATTTCATTCACTTTACCTATTGTCAATTTAATTGTCTTATATAGCACAAAAGATATAATCAGAGAGTTGAACGTACCGACTAAGTCTCTATTGTCATATTTACCTGTTAATTTGTAATGACAGAAGCATCCATGTTGCAAGAGTATAGAGGGTCTTCACTGAGAGCTTCTGTTGACACACAACAAGTAATTTGATGGCAAATAATCCCAGAATTCCCAGTAGTAACACAGAGAGATATCGCAATAAAATGTAACGTGTAGTAAATTTCAGTACAACATTTGAAGTAATAAATACTCGGTACAACGACAGATTTCTACATAAACAAAAGCAGTACTTCTTTTTACTCAATCATGTATTGTTAGTATTATCACTATTATACAGATTAATTAACTATTTTTTGAAGTCACTATATCATATCATGTTTTCTTCCCCACTAATAATAATTCTCATTTGTTACTTGTGGTCATATACACTATTCCTCTATCGATTGAGCTTATACGAATTTACAAAATATTGTAGTTAGTTTTCTGTGTTAAACTATACTATTTTATGAACATTGTGCACAAAATCACATTCATAAAACACTTTGTCTATAAAAGTTAGTGGCTATGCGAAATATTTTAAATACATGAAATGCAATGAATTTCCACTGTGTCATTGAAGAATAAATATAGCCAATGTATCAAAGTAACTCTGTTTTGTGGCGATATTACTGACTGAAGCTGTGTAATCATATTTGTAGTTCATCAGTAAATTATATTAGTATACTTCCTACACAAAGAGAGCTCTTTATAATTTCATTTTCGAGCATTACTCTGGTTGGTTATGAAAGGGATTATTCCGAATTACTAATGAGCTATTATCAAATGTAATTATTCTGTTTTTCATATTCATCAAATGTATAGTCATCTCTCTCCAATAAAATATTATTATGTTAACATTTTTCATTAGCCGTTACATCGTTGCACAACTTCACTTTTGTATTTAATGTTTATCAACAATTTATCACTCAATACTACCGAATGTTTACAATTTTTTTATATTCTTCAAGTTAACAATTATCTTTTATCAGTAATCTATTTTTACTTTGATCTGTTACATACTCTTTTTATACTTCAGAAAACTATATATATTTATATATAGCTTACAAAACATTCAAATAATCAGGAATCAAAAGTAATTATGGATGGTCAACGTGTGCGTATGAACAGATATTAAGGGAAGAAAATAGGACCGTACGATGGTTATACATAAGTTCATGACCTTTTGAAACGGGTGTATATATCGCTCAAATTCTTAAATGATTGCAATAGACTAGCTGGATTTCTCCTACATTTTATTGTAGACAACTAGTAATCACTGACGAATCAGTTAATCACCTACTGATGTTTTAACTACATACTGCTTACCTCAAGATTGATACTATCCTCCAGTTTATAAAATGTTCAATAATTTTGAGATGATGGAGAAGATTTGTAGCAAAGGTGGATGGTATTGGTGAAATTTTGTTCTCTGAGCTGGATGGTTTGGTCGTGGAGCTTTCATCGTTCTTCTGAACGACATCATCAGCACAAACTTCAGATTGCTGCGAAGAATTCCAGCATTATCAACCAATCAGGAAAATCATGCATAAATATAAGAACAAAAATCAAGACAATGGGAGACACAACCAAAACAAAGAAGTGAACAATGACAAATTTAATGTCAATAAGAACCAATCAACATCGAGGTGCACAGAACATGCTGTGAAACACATATGGGGAAATTCGAACACTTCACTTCTATCTGAAGTTTGTGCTGATGATGTCGTTCAGAAGAACGATGAAAGCTCCACGACCAAACCATCCAGCTCAGAGAAAAAAACTCCACCAAAAAGTACAATAATCCTCAACTCCATACCTATAATACTTGAAATTTAGAGTTATATTTCTCTGGTAAAATAATTGATAAAGTTAGTCTATCTCTTTGCTATATTACTTGATTAACTGATTGAATGATAAATTTACTGGCCCTTTTCATATTTATTATCATTTATAGTGACTAAACTAATCTTATGGATCATTTGTTTTAAATTTGGTGGTGGAATGGCTATCGATGCGCTTAAAACCGATCAACGTAACGATATACTGACGAATGCTGCATCAATTTTATTTAGTGGTCTTGCTGGACGTTTACGTAAGAGTTTCTACTGTTTCACTACTTTCTAATAACATTTCAAACTCATCATTATTTCCATAAATAAAATTGATATATACACTCCAGAAGATTGGATAAACATGTGTTACGTTGGATGCCATCTCAGTGGTCTAGGAGGCCGAATGTCCTGAGTTCAATTTCCAGATAGGGAGTAGTGGGTGCGCATTGATGAGGAATCGCATACTAGGGCGAAACGGCTGTCCAGACCTTCGACGGTTTATATGATGGTTAGATGAATTTGTGGGAATATGGTTTTATCTGCTGTGTTGTTGATTGCTCTGCTTAAATTTTCTGCATCTAGTAACTGTTGTAAGAGAGCAACTAGTCATTGGTTCAGAATTGTTTATATAAGTCACTATGTCATAGAAACAAGCTAGTTCTTGAGGTCACAAATATAAGCCAATATTTATGCTTTAACACAATACCACATTCCTTCAGCAAATAGTTTATTGCTTCCAGATGATGCCTCACAGCATTATTAACATTGTAAGAAATACCCTCCGAAAACAATTTATAAACAACATCTCAAATAATTTAACATTAAATATCCATCCACCACATGTAACATGATTTTCCGAATCAACCTGATCATGTCTGTAAATGACTACGGATTCTGTGGAGATTTTCAAAATATATTACATTTAAGTAGAATGAATGTATACAAGCGAATACAATATGCCAACAAGTGTTTATAGAACTGGTATTTTATATCTAGTTGAGGACTTTTGGATTTTGCTTGAGGGTCGACTTGACGTTTCGACTTCCAGAACAAAGCGGATTGTTTTCCTAAAAAGTAATGTCAATAATGCTAGCCTATGAGTCAGATTTACGAGGCAGCAAGGATACGGTGAAAATTTCCTTTCTATAGTAGGTGGTGATTAAGGTAGATTTAGAGTCATATTATTGTTTTTATTTTATAAAGCCCTTGTGGACTGTTAGTTTAAAAGTGATTCTCTTCTCTTTGCCAGCTTAGGACATTTAGCCGAATGCCAACTTGAGGGCTAAGTATAATTAATTATTTCCCATCTGGAAAACGTGTTGAAATTAACCAAGTTGTGATCAGTTTACAATATACCTTGTTAGAGCAGTGGAATATGTGGACAACCGTAAGAATATAGTGTTTTACATACCAAGCCAGTAGCTTGTTTCATCAGCTATGACCTTTTATTGGTATTGTTGTGCAAAGTCTTTTTACTCGTATGCCTTCTCTATCATTCCTAGCTACGTCTAGTATGGCTATTCTAATCAATTGATTCAGCATAATACCGTGCTTCAACCCATTGATCTCGCAGGCACTGTAGATAGTTATTTTGAGCATTATTGATCATTGTCTATTTTATGTAGATTTTGGAGAAATAAACTTTAATAATAATTATTATTAATAATTAATGGCTTTATTCAATATTTTATTTTGGTACAATGTGGAATTCTCGGCACAGGGTATTTCAACAAGTTTCTTATACAAAAAAGAAACAGAAAAAATAGTCAAAAGAAGGAGAAAAAGAAAAACTGTACAACTTTTCAAATTAGAGACATGTTAAGAATGCAGGTTATTATTGACTAGGTTAACTCTAACAATCTGTTCGTCACAGAGTATATTTGCCAGGCAAGGTATTATAGAACTTTTATACTTTTGCATGTGAACTTGGATCACATAAATTGTTTCGCTCAAATGTGTATGAGAAATCTATCAACTTAAGGATTGCTCGTATCATTAAATAAAGTTAGCTGAAAAACTAATATAAACTATGAAAATGTAAACAGTCACTAAGACCAAGTTTTGAGATTTCATCATTTATAAACTTCTCACTCGACATTCGCAAATCCATCACAAAAGTCAAAATCAAGTGCATTGGCGATCTGTTGTAGTTTCAATTCAATTCAATTAATTGATTTCCTCTGTATTATAAACATGAAATAATTTTGTTTGAGATCCTAAATGGACCAATGTTAGACAACCATTGCACTCTCGAGGAGTCTCGTACTAGGACGAAACGGCCATCCAGTACTTCTAGGTTTTCAATAGTGGTCTAACATTGATCCATTCATGATTTCAATCAAAACTCAACAATCTCCGAAACCATATACTGATAAAATAATCTTGGTGGTTTATTTTAACAAAATATATATCGTTTCAGGTTACTAGTTATTCGATGTCACGATACATTAAGTACTCATTTCATGTACTCTTCTATAATCGAATTTGACCTTTGATTCCTCGTTTGATTAAATGACAGAATGCAATGTCTGCATTAAGGATTTAAACACGTCTTCATAGCTGACCTTATATAACTGAAATTAGAATGAATTGGTTTTATTTTTCGGAAGCTATACAGAGTTCTTAAGAGATAATGATGCTTATTTTGCGTGCACATGACTTAATACTTTTATAAGAACAACATGAAAATCAGTTCTCAGTACATGAACTCAAGAAACCGGCTGTCTGAATAATAAGTTCACAAATAAATGACTCATTTTATATACATTTAACTACCCAAATCACTCATCTCTGGTAACTATTTGTCAGTTTATTCAAGTAAATTCTTTATAATATCTAGCAACGATTGTCTGTTGGGACCAATTGATGATTACTGCGAGTTTCATGTGAATTTTATGTTCAGCGATGTCGTTAATTATTAAGGAATAGTAATTCTGGGTTTCTATTTACTCAGTTCTAATCACTGTAAAATAAATGGACAACATTCATTACAGCTCCTTTACTACGACAAAGTGAGTTTTAATATTGATGCTGGGGCTTGTTTTGCCAAGCTTATATATATATATATATATATCATCAATCGATATCACTATTTTCATCGTCATATCTTCACTGCATTGTCATGTTCTAATTTTCACTTGCTCATTTACGCACGACATCCAGTTTTACCGTTATGATATTTGCCATAGATCTGTTTATATTTGCGGTGCTACCAACAACAATAATAATAAATTATTATTGTTGTTACTTTCTGTATTAACAATTCATCTATTTTTATAAATTACTTTTTCATTCAAATAGTTTCTTTTGACATGCTATCGACTTTATTTTTGAAGTATTATCATCACTATGGTCGTCCTTATTCACGTATTATTTCTAATGGTATATTATAATGCTGAATGTATTCATTAACAAAATGTCCATAAATTTTATACCTTATATGAAATGGAATATTATGAAATTGAAATGATCTGGATATATGTGCGCTGTTTTATTAATTCTATACGAGTGGAAATATTTAAGATTTGTTCCCTAAAAACTATCATCAATAAAAAATCTCAGGTGTGACCTCTGATTTCCTATTGATTAGTAAGAACACTGTAAGTAGGATTTAGGTGAGTTGATTAGACACAGAAAAACAATGTTACTGAACATGTTGAGTTACATTGGTTTAATGGAAACAATCATTATTATAACCAATTGTACCAGTGATTGTTTTACTGTACATGTTTGTTTACCTGTACTAAAGACATCGTTCCTTCCTTTGATCGTGACCTTGCACGAATTCGGTTACGCTCAGTAACCACACGTGTACTCCTTTGGCACGATCTCGGTATTCTTTCGATACCACGAGATCGCCAACGAATACATCTCGACTACAGCCATCAACTGCCTTCTGACATTTGGCTTACGGGGGATCTTATCCGTTAACTGGCACGTAGTCTTCCTGTAGTGATGATCATAGTCAACCGCGACTAGACGCCACGCTACACATGAGTAATACTGAATCACTTACACCTCATTATCAAAATGAAAATCTGTCTTCAGATATTGACAATTACATTTTTATAAGTACACAGTGCAAATTTAGGAATTTTTTTAAAATTAGTCAAATAGATTATCTTGAAACAATTCTATCACAGTGTCAGTATTGTATAACTTGTTCACTCGAACTTCATCATTATGGATAACCAGAAATAAAACCACTGTTGACCATGAAGAAATATTTTCACTTAATTCAAACTATTACTGCTTTGAATTTGTCCATGTTTTCAATTATACTCGTTTATATAGTAGATTTGTGAATGTTTTCACTTTCATTGAAATCATCCATTTTTTTATGAATCTTATCAAGTTATCTGTTTCTTTGATACTTTATATGATTAATATATATTCTGTGTTGAAATATACTTAATATATTTCTGATAAAGATGTATAAACTGCCTGTAACAGTCATCATGAATTTGTTAAAAACAAAAGTATTTACCTTTAATGACGATTTCTCACCTTTTCTGTCATTTATATAATACATATGTCTAATAAAGCTTATGAGTTTATGTTACAGTAGAAATTTGTATGAATTGAGGGATTCTTGTTTTACTGATATTTGAATTACAACTAAGCTTCTATTAATATTGAAATCTGAATTCTTTTGTCAATAATATAATAATTAATATGATCTTATGTAACTGAAACCGAATATTTGTTACGTAATATAGAAAGTGAACAAATAATAATAGCTAATCAGATAGGGAACCATAAAATCCATATAATTTAGATCATAATTTACTATTGTTCGTTTTTATAAAAGAAATTTCTCATTTATTTACATCATTGTAAGTTAAATGTGTTGATTTGATTAAATGAAAATAGTTAAAACAAAAGCAACATTTAAAATAGTCCGACCTACTATTTCTAATAATTTATAGTTGTAAGTAGGTTAATAAAAGCAAACTGGTTGTGCTAGTTTGAATGTTAACATGTGATACAACCAAGTCACCATGAAAAGCTCTACGAAATGTATGATACGCTTTTTCCTGATTTTCTCTTCTATTCACGTTTCTTTTTACTTTGTTACATTTATTTCAATACTGAACAACATGGTTGCCAATGACTACAAGTTATTTCAACAGTGAAGATTTATGAAACAGAATATTCTGTAGACAGACACAAGCTATTTATTAATCATATAATTTACTTAATGAACCAACGGATCACTAAATAAATTCATTGTTTCCTTGTTCTACTTGTTTAACACTTAATTATTTTATACAATGAACACGATTTATATTCCTTGTTTTCAATAAAGAACAGTTTAAAGGGGTTTTCACATTTTTCGGTTAGAGCTATACTTATTGGTTCTTATATTTTGTATTCTTGGTATAAACTTGGTGCTGGTAAGTTGACGATTCTTGCGAAATATTATTTATCATTCATATATAAAACTTTTAATAGAGTTTGTTCGTGATTAGCAATAAGACCGAAGAGGCCTGGCTCGCCCTATTTTGAATTCATTAGTTGGATGCATATGCACACCAATCTTGATGTTCATGCCAAGAATCAAACCCATTGCCATATGACTAAAACGCTCGACACCTTGTCCACTTAGTTACTGATTCCATTTACTCATTGACTTGTGAAACTGTGCGTCCAAAGAGAAGGGCATTGGTTTCGAGTCTGTGTGTCAACACGTACACTGGGATACAGCTACATTCAATTAATGAATCTGAAACAGGACAAAACACAAGAATAACAAAGATTGTGGGACGAAGTGAATTCATTTCATCTTCAACACACGCATCGATTTAGATAAATAAACAAAATATTTCGGTAAATGTAATTTTGTATGTAATATGTATAAAGTAATTTAGTTCACTAGTGAGAAAATATTCGTAAACACTTTCTATATTCCTACAAGTTCAAAACATTGAACAGATGATAATGAACGGCTTGATTGAAAGGAAGACCAAGATGTAATTGAGCATAGCAGATATGTGCAAAACTGTTGTGATGATACTGTACAGCCTTTTTCACCCCTATTTAATCACAATAATACTTTCATTGTTCACTTTGGTGAAATTTTCATTTCTAATTTATGGTTATTATAACTAGGCTTATGATTATAACACTATTCAATAGGTTGTTTGACCCCTTATGAAGACATAAATATTGAAACACTTTCGTTTTTTTCATACTCTCTTCAATTATGATTGTTATTGTTAGTATTATTATCACCATTAGTGGGATCACTCCATTATGATTATTTTGGTAATTCCTAAAGCTTTCATTGTTTTGTCTTGTACCATCATAACGGTTTTGTGTATATCTGTTATACTCAATTACATCTTGGTCTCCCTTTCAATCAATCCGTTCATTATCATTTGTTCAGTATTTTGAACTTGTAGGAATATAGAAAGTATTTACGATTATTTTCTCACTTGTGAACTAAATTACTTTATATATATTACACACAAAATTACATTTACCAAAATATTCCAAATCGATGCGTATGAATTCACTTCACTCCACAATGTTTGTTATTGTTGCTTGACAAGGGTTTATCGTGGCTACTAATTACGGAAAAAATTATTTATCAATATGAACGCCTTACATGTTTTCCTTAAATCACACTAATGGTAAATCTATGCTAATGTCATTACTAATTCAACCACTCTATCATTATCATGTATTTTTATTGGCATTAACAGATCTTCACCATTATTGGTTTGTAAAACCATGAATGTCTATTATATTCTAGCTCAAATACCTAAATGGTGTATGTTATTAGTTTGATTATTTAGTTCCAGAATAACAATTTAATAATATGATTAAGGTTTTATTATTTGATATAATTTTCTCATCTGAACTGGAAATTGTACAGATTATGTTTGGGAAATACACTGACGCATTTTATAAGATTTGAAGTTCTTTAAATCTTATTGGTAGAAGAATACATATTCAACTTCTTAGTGTATAAAACTACAGTTCATCCTAGCTATTTCGATAGATAATAATGTTTAAAAATCTCCATCAAATTATATCACTAATGTATGAACGAAGAATATTCTCTTCAGTTATTATTCAGTTTGTAGGTGTCAATGCCAAAATGAGACTTGATATTTTTAAATCAAAAGATCATTGAGTAGAAAGTTAGTAAAACAAGCATACATTTTTCTGATATCCCAATAAGTAGAAAATTGTATTTCTAGTGTATTATTTGAACTTGTCTTAATTTATTCTGGGTTATTTATTTAAGATTTGGAATATTCAGATGACCTGACCCCTCTATCCCATACAAATCATTAAATTCAGGTCACGGCAACTAGTGTGACAGTAGCCTCTGAAAAATTAGGCCCCAACATACATTAGGGAAATAGTAAGATCCTCAAATACAACACGGAGAACACCAACTCAATCACACTTGATGGAGAATCTCTGGAAGATATGGAACGTTTCACGTATCTGGGTGGCATCATCGATGAATATGGAGGATCTGATGTAAATGTGAAGGTGAGGATCGTCAAGGCAATGAAAACATTTCTACAAATCGAGGACATCTGCAACTCGAAACAACTGTCAGCCAATATCGAAGTCACAATCTTCAGTCTTCAGTGAATCAAGGCAGTTTATCAGTCAATTATTGCGCTGAAGTAGATTACAAAATCACAAATGATAAATGTTATGTATACATTCATGGTAGGATAATAAGCCACATGAAAGCATACGTTATTCCATATTACCACACGTGACTGAATGTTGTCTTAGATATTGAGGAAGAATTATGTAAGATGAATGACCAAAGCGATAGTAATCTCCCTCACTGCAACAGCAGTAACTTCAGGATACTTGTATTGAGGAGTAGTGATACTCCGTTCATATCAAACTCTCTGAGAGCTTCCAGAACCTACAGAAGTCCAGTTAATGCAGGTTTACTTGAAACTGTCTTCAAAGTTTATTCAACATTCCATCTCTAAAAATATTCTTCATCATGTCCGCATGTCTAAGAGGTGTA